AGAGAGAGAGAGAGAGAGAGAGAGAGAGAGAGAGAGAGAGAGAGAGAGAGAGAGAGTTGTCGTTTGATGATGGATCGATCTGTTCTTTCTTTGTGGGCGAAGTCGCAACAGTGAGGAGGTGGACTAAGGAAAAAGGGGTAGCAGTGGTGGCACGTTTGGTTCACGCCTCTTTGCGACGAGGAGGAAGATGTAAGAGGGGGTTCACGGAAGCAGATGACAGATGTCGAGTGGTTGTAATGGCTGGCAGCGTTTTTTCCATTATGACGGCAAAAAAGGGGAGGCGTTTTGGTTGTGTGGTCGAGTAGATTTTCGCCCTCGAGGTTGCAAAGAAGGGGAGGCGGAGGAAGCGGAGGCCCTTTTCCATTTGTTTCTTTGCAATTATGAGGAGGGGATAGCGGGTAATGGCGTTTTTCCCCCCGTTGATTTTGGTGTGATCAAGATGAAGTGGAGAGCAGCGGGTAATGGAGACTTGTTCACTGGGTCCCTTGGTATGAAAGGGAGGACAAGGAGGGAGAGGTTTGGGCGGCGGTGCGGTGGCAGTGCGTTCTCTTGGAGCGAAGAGGAAGAGCGGGGAGGTGGTCATGACAAGCGAGAGGAGGAGGTCGAGCTCATTTTCCAATTCTTCTTTGAAAAGACGAGGACAAGGAGGGCGAGGAGCGTGGAATGGGATGGGAAGGAGCCACACACACACACACACACACACACAGAGAGAGAGAGAGAGAGATGAGGGGGAAGCCACAGGGAGGGCGGGAAAAGGGATGGGATGATGCAGCGGAATCGAGAGAGAGAGAGAGAGAGAGAGAGAGGAGACAATGATTTCATCGATGGATAGATCCATCACTGGACACCAATTTGAATAGGTATCGTTTGATCTACTGAGAGATAGATTGATTGATTCAGTAGTTGTTGGATTTCCATGCACACCAAATTCAATTCCACCTGCATCCACAGGTCCTCCTTGTTCGACATTAGTTTTTAGTCAAGTTTTGGATCTTTGAAGCTTGACCCACCGACGTGCTTCCTTTAAGGTGCTGGATGTTGTTCGTTTCTCAACATGCATACTGAGATTCGTGTCCGTAGGCTCTACAGATACTGCCGAATTTTTGTTTTAACCACTTGAGTGGCTTGTTAATGCAAGTTGGTCACTTGTCATGGTGTTGCATATTTGGTGCTTGCAGATCATCCAATATTGGCGTATTTGTCTGTATTCAGTGTTCAGGAGCGCATCGTGGCTTGGGTGTGCACATTTCCAAGGTACCTTTCATAATGGTTTTCTTTGTGCAACTGCAAAAGAAGAAAAGAAAAAGAGAAAAAAAAGAAAAAAAGAAAAAAAAAGAAAAAAAAAGGGAAAAAAAAAAGAAAAAAGAAAAGATATGTTGATCTGTGGGATGTGTTATTTGCTTTGTGACAATTGGATTATCTTTCTTTCCCTGTCAGGTTTGGTTTCCTCCTTTTCTTTACCTCTTTGCCTTTTGGCTGCGTGCAAGTGGGTCCTTGTGACACACGGGGATGGGGGCAGCCAGTGCGCAACCTGTCATCCACGTGGCTGGCCTTGTACGTAGGAGGTGATGAACAGGTGGGGCTTTACTTCCTGACTTTTTTTCTTTCCCTTCCTTGTTTTGCTTCTTTCCGCCTTTGCGCTCTGATTTACAGTGTGACAATATTCTTTCCGCCTTTGCTTTCTGATTTACAGTGTGACAATATATTGTCACACTGTAAATCAGAGCGCAAAGGCGGAAAGAAGCAAAACAAGGAAAGGAAAAGAAGGAAGGAATAGTATAGTATATCTGGATTAGAATCTTCTCTCTAAAGCATTGGATTGCTTGGCTTAAACCCGTCTTGATAACACTGATGCCCCGTTGCTGCTGTTTTCTGGTGCCAGTAATGGCTTGGTCACGCATACTCGCACTCAGATCACCTAAGTAAGATGAACAGCTATGTTTTTGAAATGGCAAAGAGACTGTTGTGGAAGTAAATGTCATGCACACTGAAAAGTGCTGTGCTTGTAATCCCTGGTCAGCTGGGGCAACGCATGGGGGGGGGGGGGGGAAAGGGGGCTGCACATCATGGTGTAGCACTGAAGATTAATGCTTTGTATGTAGTGGGTTCTTGCTGTCTCCTGCCTGCCGAACCGAACAGGTGAAATTTTGAAAGGGAAAGCAAAGAGGAGGGACGGTGGGGTGCATGTGGGTGGCGATAGGAATCATGCAATCATAACAATGAAGGAAACTGCCATATCTCACAGAAGACCAGGCATTATTGGGCCATGTTGAAAGCAGAAAATCAAAGCGAAATGCATGCACACCAAATAGGAACAAGCAATACACCGAAGCCTCTTGATAAAGACAGCCGTTCCACCGCCCCCAATCATGAAAACAAGTACAATCTAGTATTCCTACTGGCGGCCTTACCACCCAGCCTGCTTCCTGAACTCCTACTACGGTAGTCTAGCCTAGCCTATCTACACGCCACGCTCTGTCCACATGTCAATTGGCTGCTGTTGTTGCTTGAAGACTATGGTCGTGCAAGCTTCCTTCGTCCACTGGCTCCCTTCTCTCTCCGCTCAAGCACCACACCTCCACCACTCAGCAAGCTTTCGCCTAGCCGGCTATGGCTGGTGCCTTCTTCTGGCTGCCACTGCAACAGCACACACCTCCACCACTCAGNGCTGGTGCCTTCTTCTGGCTGCCACTGCAACAGCACACACCTCCACCACTCAGCAAGCTTTCGCCTAGCCGGCTATGGCTGGTGCCTTCTTCTGGGTGCCACTGCAACAGCAGCTCCGTTTCGAGTGCCGCGCTCAGCCACCCCACGAGCAGCACTGCGACATTGCCTGAATGCCCGAATGTGCTGGGAGGCCGGGTCCAGGCTCTGCTTCAGTCCCAGTACTTGATGCCTTGGGCCTACTGGGAGGGCGCAGACCCAGCCTCTGCAACCAACTCGTGGGCTGGGCCCTATAGGTTGGTTGCAGAGGATGGCTGCTGCCAACCACCCGGGACCCCTCATGCCGGCCTTCACTCAGGGTCGGCTCCCATTTTCATGGCCAGGCAACGTCCGCTCCCTGTGTAGACTGGACAGATTCTACCACGGACAGTGAAGGAGCCTCTCCAGAGGATGGTCGCTGTGCCATCCCATTCTGTCAGCACACAGCTACAGTACGGTTAGCATGCACACAACATAGTCTCTGCTCCGAACAGTATGAAGCGGTGGTCACTGCCAGCCTCTGCTGGGAAAAAGACTGTGACACTTTGTCTTGTACTTATCCCTCCCACCCCCTAATTACTTGCCCAGTATGCTGTCGTGGCCTTGACATGTCATGCCTAAATAGCTACGAAAGTCAGCCTGCTTCCCTGCTGACATGTCAGCAACATGCCATGTGTAATCTATGTTTCGCAGTGTTGTTCGCAGTGTTGCACACGCCGACCGTCGGTCGGGGTCGTCGGCACCCCACAAAAAATAGAATAAGAGATTGCCAACCTTACACTCCATTGGGATGAGGTGCAGTACGTGGACAACCTGCAGCGTGTGGATCCCTCTGCTGCTCGCCGATATGCTTTTACATACCGGTTCATTGATGATGTTCTTACCTTTGATTGTCTGCCACCATCGTCAGCCCATTATGGTCTTGAATGGAAGGAGACCACTGCGGCAGATGGCTCGTGCACCTTCTTAGGTGCGAAACTGCAAACACGAGCAGACGGATCTCTCAGATTGAGTGTGTTTGATAAGACCGTTGCATGGGATTTTCCTGTTATACGATATCCTAGTGCAACGTCGAACATTCCATCTCATCAGCCTGCAGGTGTGTTCACTGGCCAGCTTACGCGGTTTGAGCAGATTTGTGACAATTGGCGTGATTTCAAAACGGCAGCAACCATGCTTGTCCACCGATTGCTGGCCCGTGGATGGACTTGTTACATTCGAGCTCGCCAGCGTCGACATCCAATACATGTAACTCGCCTTACACAATGGTTTCGACGTATGCTTCTCTGGTCCGTGCACCATCCTCTTCCACCCTCTCCCCCCCTTTCCTCCCCTTCTCCTTC